AACAGAATAACTATCCAAGGCCAAATAAACATTTTTATGTTAATAAAAGTCATACTATAAGAATTATTATTACATTTTTTATGCATTAGCAATTTATTACTATATTAAAATTATATTCAAATCATTGAAATAGGGCTTAAATCATAAGTTATCACCATGCTAACTTCTCTAAAACAAAAAAAGATTTTAATACTTTTGAATAGTGAGTCCTACAACCCTTATAAAACTTTCTTTTACTTTTTTTTTGTTTATTATTTGTAATTTTATTTTTTTTAAAAAGTATTTTAAACTGTATAGATAATGTAAAATTAAATTACTTTAAATAGCCAATTATACAAAGTCTTCCTATAAGATCCAACGAAGTATTCTTGCAAAGTGCAACTGATGTTGTCAGAATTTAAATCTTTCTATTAAATTAAAATTTTATCATTTGTATAACTACTACATTGTTTTAATGAAAAATTTCAAACCTATATTAGCGTTAAAAAAAACAAATTTTTTTTACAAAAAGTAAATCTTTAAAATAGCATTAAATACTTTTTTTATACTTAATAGTTTTTTTATAGATCATTTAGATTTTTTTAGAACATCTTGATTACAAGTTTTTAAAAACAATTTAGCTGTTGAAGTAACACCTTTTAAAAAAAACTCAAAAAATAAAAGTACTTTCTGAGCCTACTTAGCTATATACTATTAGGCTAATAGCAAAAATGTGGCATTAGTAAAAGTCACCTAAGAATCTGATTATATCTGATTAAATTTGCCAGCTGCTAGTAAGACCAAAAACTAATGTATTCTGAAAGTTATTTGCTCATAGATGACATATACAGTGACTTGTTATATGAGCAATTACGTTTTCATATAGAGGATACTCTAAAACTAATATAAATAATTGTGTAATGATCAATGTTACAGTTGTACCACATTAGCCAATTAAAATGACTTTCTACCATACGTTATTTAATAATATAAATCTTTATTGATCTGGAATTTTGTGATTGGAATTTAGTGATTTTGGGCTTGTTAGAATTGTCTCACTGAAATAAACATTTTGGTAATTAAATCATTCAAAATAGGCTAATGAATCAAAAGTTATTAAATTTTAAATAATCTATTTAATAATTCTAAAAAATTACTATTAAAATTATACAAAAATTGAATTATCTTAGGATCCTGTGATTGGATTTTAATGATTTTAAACTTGTTAGAATCATCTTCTTAAGGTGATTATTTTAGCAGTTAAATCATCTTAATTGGCCTAGTAGATCTCCATCCACCCACTCCAAAATTACGTAATTTCTGAAAGCTTACTTAGAAGATGACTTAATTAAAAAAATTAGTTCTGAACAAGTTGATTTACTTGTAGATTATAATTTTTTGCACTGCTGAAAGAGCAGTGTCATATATCACCTAATTTTTTTATTAGAAGCTTACCCCTCCTCCTTTTAATATATATCTTGATCAGGTCTTTATATATAATTTTAAATTTTTTACCCCCTCCCCCCTAAAAAATCACCTGATTTTTGTCACATCCCAAATGACATTGATCCACCAACAATTTTTGCTGCAATGAATCAGCCATCAGTATGTGCAATGGAACATCATCTATCTAAAGTTTCGCAAAGCAAAAAATAATTACCATAGTTAAAGTTTTGCACCTACAATTTTCATTGTATCATTTTTCATAAGCTTGTAAAATCAAAAAAATAAAATTGCCAAATACTTTTATTTTATATTTGTAGCCATGGTTAATGTAGCCGCATCCAATCAAATTTAAAGAACAGGTGTAACGTGACACGATCACGAAAATTCAAAACAAACGTTCGCTTTGTCCAAAAATCGGTTATAACTCAAAATTGAGTATATGAAACTACTCATTGGGTTATAACAAAAAAAATTCCTTGCTAAATTTTCTATAAAATACCCTTTTCCGTATATTATCTTTACCTCACCCTAACCCTAATAAGGTAGCTGCGCAACGTAGTTGCGCTAAAACCAGGAACGGATGTCCAGTAGATTGTGTTCGAAGTTCTAATACTTTATAATTGATGAATTATCTAACCTTATAAATTATAGATGTTAACCATGATAAAATATAAAAACTCGCATTTTTTTTTTTTTAATAATTTATGAAAATAAATAGATAAAATTCATTATAATATACGCCAAGCAAAATATTACATGCAAAATTCGAAATATCCAGGAATCTCTCAATCCATAATATATATTTAAGAATATATTCTAATGGTTAATACTGGCAAATCCATGATATTCACCAATACAATTACAAATTTTAATAAATATCACCTGCTATCAAAAAATCGTAAAAATTTGTTATGCTCAAGAAGTGTTTAGTATTTGGCATGTGTAAATGCATGCATTCATACATTCATACAGTATATTCATGACAATATATCCGTGGTAAAAGATTGTAAGTTAGCCACCACTATGTATACCAAAATACTGAGCCTACTTGCTAGTTCAGTGGTTATAATGTTATGAGAAATGCCAAAACAATCAAAGCCTATTTAATGAGTTACACATTCTTAAATACAGAGCCAGAATAAGCCACTCTCATTCATGAAACTTTTTGAAAAATAAACTTTTCGTGTGATCTTATGTCTGCATTAAAACCTTTAGAAAAAAGTGGAAGACAGTCACGCAATGTGAGCAAATCTAATCGATCCAGTGTATCTGAAAGTATAGTGGAAGAAAACACTAAAATAGCTAAACTTTTTAGCCCAGAGGGTGAAAATACAAGTTTTAGCTATCATGGTAATGATGATATATATCTTGAAGATTATCGTGAAGGGATACCAAGAAATAAAAAAAATCGCAGAAAATATCTCTGCATCTTGTGTGGATTGTTTGGTATATTGATAGTCGTTGTTTGCATAATAGCTTATGTTTTAAACATTCAACATGAATATATATATATGTAAATGAATCTTGATTGAAAAAAAATATATATCAATTTCTAATATAAAATTATTTTATTGTGTATAATGCCATGTCAGATTGCATAGGCGCAATACACTCTTGTAATTTGGTATGTGATTATTGTTACATCTTATATTTAAGAATTCTTATTTTCTTTTAGTTTACATATTTGAACCTTTAAATAACTGATAATAAATGTAATAATAATTCTTATAGTATGACTTTTATTAACATAAAAATGTTTATTTGGCCTTGGATAGTTATTCTGTT